TGGTCTGTTGTTCATATCAAAATGATTATATAAGTAGAAGTAAATAAACACAAAATCTTACACAGTTTTATCACAGCTGGCAGAAAATTTGTTCTGCTTTATTGAAAGGTATTGTCTCTCGTAAATAATACAATAATAGTTGATACTGGAACTATTCCATAGTATCAACTAGAGGTAGCTATATAATAATGACTAAGTGAATTTTAATTTTTTTAATTAGAGAAATGTCTATTTTAGCTTTTGCCTATCTGCAGAACTGATTTGATAACATTAGTAGTATGTTTGCAAATTACATATGACATTTATTTTTCAGTATTTGTAAATAGGTTACCTGATTTTTATTAACTGGTTCATCTAGTTCTGCTTATGACAATACAATCTGTAAGGACACTGGTCACCATTCTATGTGTGGCCTAGTGGATAGGGCACTTGCCTAGGGTGCACAGGGCAGTGGCTTCAAGTCCTGGGTCTGGTCCTGTCAGGATGGACAAAAGCCTGGATGGCTCTGGGGACAGGAGGGATTAGCGGCACCCTGTGATGGTAAGATGGTGGGTCTGGCTCCCATGTGGGATAGGATGCTGGCCTAGGGAAGACAGGGGCATGGGTTCAAGTCTTGGGCTGGCTGACTCAGGACAGCAGAAAGCCAAGCAGCCCTGAGGGCAGGAGAAACAAGGGGTACCCTGATGGGGAGGGTTAAGGGAGACAGCACTACAGCCCAGGTTTCAGCTGTGGCCCCATCTCTAGCACTTCCTCCTAGATTTAAAAAGGGGAACTTATGCTGTTGCACCACTTAGTGTTATAGTGCTCAACTTACCACCTCTGCCACCTGGTGGAATTCACAACCCTGAGTTAGGTGTCCATGCTCCTTCAACAATACAGGTGAGTGTGGTCAAAGGGAGTTATGCCTCAAAGGAACAGATACATGTAAGATACCAAATTGCTACTGAAAATTCTGCAGTGTTAGTTTTCTTTTTCTTTGTATTTGATTTCATATTGATTAAAGTCCTGCGCCTTGTTAATTATCCCTTGCTTAAGTATTCTTTGTTCCCTAACATTTAAATTATATAACTTGGGTGGCACAGATCTGCCACCCATAGATCAGACAAGCGCGCATGACCTCAAAATTGGTGCACAAAACAAAACTGGCTCCGCTCATTAGAGGGAACACCGACCAGCAGGCAGGATTGCCAAATTTCCAAATGCAGAAAACAGAACATTCTTGCCACACCACTTCTGGGGCTCCAGCCCACACTCAATCTCCTCCCACCTGTACTCAAGGCACCAGGCTAGGGGTGAGAATGCCGGAAGAGGGGGGCTCTGGCTGAGAAGTGGGGTGAGGGAGGAGTTTGAGAGGCTGCAGGCTGGGGCCCAAGGGGCTCAGGGTGTGAGTAGGAGCTCAGGGGTGAAGCAGCAGCTTGGAGTGTGGGGAGGGCAGGCACGGGGAGGGGGGGCAGAAATGGGGGGTTCCGGGTGCAGGTCGGAGTTCCAGCCTGGAGTAAGGGGAGGGGACTCTGGGATGGGCTCAGGCCTGGTGCAGGGGTTGAGTCATGAGCCGCCAGTGGCGTGTAGCTCAGGGACCCCAGGACAAGTGAAGGGATGCCGCCCTC